GAGGATCACTTGAGCCCAGGAGTTTGAGGTTGCTGTGAGCTAGGCTGACGCCACGGCACTCTAGCCCGGGCAAAAGAGTGAGACTCTGTCTCAAAACAAAACAAAACAAAACAAAACAAAACTATAATTACCTCTTTTCTGAGTTAATCTAGGCTTATGGAATCAAATTAAAGCTTCCAGTTTCACGCAGCTAGAAATGGGAGGACCTGGGACTTGAACTCAGATAATCTGTTTCTAGGGTTTGTTTGCTTCAGAGTTTACATAGTGCTTATTACAGAAGAAAGTCTACAAATCTACCAGAAACTTGAGCCCTTGTTCCAATTGTATCACTATCATAACAGACAAAGCACGTAACGTTTTATGGTCTCAGTTGATCCATGAAGGCATTAAGCTACATAAGCTAAGGTGAATTAAAATATTCGATTAAGTTACATTAATACTTTGTCTTAAAATTTGAAAGAAATAAAAGATCCTTGTTTTTAAGAATTTTATAAGTTAGTTATGAAGATAAGATTTAGGTTCAAAGAACTATTAGTAAGCACAAGATTTCTTTCATGCTATCCTCTATCTAGGTAAAATTATCATTTACTCTTTAGTAACTCCATAGTAAAATAGTTTTATCCTAATACACTTTATTTTTTTCATTTGTTTTACATCCATCGCTACTGAATCCACTGAGTGATCTTTGAAGGAAAAAGTCATATCTTTTTACCTCTATGTTCCCATTATTTAGAGTTATATGCTACATATGGCTTCAGTTAATCATTGTTTCAACATATGGTTCTCTATCCACTTAAGAATGTCTTCGTGGCTTAGAGATGTTCCACCACTGGCTTATGGAGTAAGGTTCTCTGATTATGAGGCCTCAGAACCTACCTCATTACTGCTTGTGGGTTCCCATGTGCATGACACTATGTGTTGCTCAATTACACAGATAATAAAGAAAAGAAATTCTGTAGACCACAAAGGGGTAAAGCACAGCTTCCCAAAGTGTGTTTTCTGGTGCAGTAATCCTGCAAACTGCTTTAGGAAAATCCAATCTGTCACCCAAAACTATCTTACATAAATAGGGATACTACAGCTCCTCTTGGAGAATCACGATGCCATTTAGCTTGAAGGCTCTGAGAAGCCATCGAATAAAAAAGATAATGTTTACTTTGTTTAATAAAACGTTTTTCATATATATTTGATTTTGTCATCTACCTTGAAAATGCGAAGTAATACTAATCAAGGAAAAACTTGGGAAGAGCAGAGGGGACGGGGTGAATTATGTCTGAATGAAAATGTCAATGTAATGGAAGAGGCGTGAACAAAGCAAATGATATGATAAAAGCATAGAAGTGAACATGTGAGACTATAACTAAAAACTCTGACTAGAGCTAAATTTCATACATTCAAGAGTGGAGAGTAATTTGGAGAAGTACACTTGAGCCAATAGCGGAGGGCTTTTATGCCAGGGACAGAATTTCAGACCTGGAACTCTCACCAAACTTACTGAGAGTGACGTGACAGACGTGGGACTCTGTGAAAGATCCTTTTATCTTCTTGATGTCTTGATTCACAATGCTGATAAGACTATCCAGATAAAAAATTCATGATACAGATGAAAATTTAGAATTTCAATTATACAGAAGTTAGACTATTTGAAATTTGTAATTTACTTAATGACTTAAAAGCATTGTTACTGACATTCAATAATTTTCAACACTTTTGTTGACAGCATTTATGGAGAAAAAACTCTTTTTCACTTTTGGGATATTTTAATTGCAAGTATAAGCACATGTAGAGTAAATGGCTAAATATAAATATGAAAACTATCTTTAATTAAACCAATTTACATATGTTCCTTTTGATGTTACAAAAATCATTGAAATACTACTTTTAAATTTTTATTTTCTTATATTCAATTTTAAAGACATAACACGATGGATGGAGCACAAATAAATTTAATCATATCTAATATTCATGGGGGAAGCCAGTATATCACACTTAATAGAAAAAAAAATAATATGTTAATATTGCCGTGGTACAGGGTCAGTAAGGCAAGGAGGAATGTCATGATTTATTTCAACATAGTAAAATATCTTTTCATTTTTACTTCTTTCTTATTCAGTTTCTTCCTTAATATAGACAAGATGTATATATAGGATATTTCTTATTCAGTTTCTTCCTTGGTATAGACAAGTATAGGCAAGATGCTCCTCCATAAATTTATTTGAAAGGAATAGATTATGTGTTTTCCTGGTAGATGTTTTTCGATGACATAGGTTCATATTTTAAAAGAAAAAAATTCTAAAGATAATTCAAGATTTAAAGAAACAAAACATCATGTTCTAAGGGGCTTGGCATCTATTAATATTATTACTTGGTGATTTGAGATTTTGAAAATATGTTTAGAATTAATATAGTCACACAGAAACATTGGGTAGCAATACCAATATTGCCCTATATAATGTTGAATTGGTATTTCCAGACTCAAGTTTGTTGTAGGTTTTGACTCTCAGAGCTCTTTGAATCTCTGTTCACAAAATTCTACCTTTTGTTTTGTCCTTGTTGGAAATATATTTCTCCTTTTAAGCTCCCTGCTTAATTAGTACTTCAATGATATTTTAGCTATCAAAGAACGTTTTTATTATCTTTATAATCCATACTTTTATTTATATCCATAAGATATCAACACACAAAAAATGCATGTGTTCTTTATAATGATTATGTAGGTTAGCCCTGTATTTGATAAGTATTTTTTCCTGAAAACTCTTATTTCTTTTTTAGTTTGTGGTTAAAATATCTAGACATAATTATCTGTTAGAATTCATCAGAAAAAAATTTCCTTTAAAGAACATTTCACATTTAAACCAAATATACCAGTTTTTAAACTACGTAGAATAATTTTTGTGTCAAATTATTTTAATTATGCATCTTCCAAATCTGAAGAATTAATTGTCAAGGATTATACTTCACAAAAAGGAAGAATTAAGTCTAGAAAAATCTAATTGGTTTAATGGATTTCAATTTCAGAATTGGAATGTGAAAAGGATATTAAAGATCCTCTAACTCAAGTCTTTAATTATATAGATAAGAAAACATATCCAAAAAATAAATTGACTTTTTCTACTTGGAGGAAAAAAAACCCAAACGTCTTAATTAAAGATGAATTTCTAAGTAATCTGTCATTTATACATTATTTACATTTTATGGGGTACAATGTTATATATTTAACCCGACCTAATTACATAGTTAATAGTCTGATTATGATTAACTATTTAATCATAGTTATTATCAATAACTATAATATCCAGTTACTATCTACAACTATATAGATACATGGTTAATGTCAATATCACTTTCTTTACTTTACTCTTTGTTCCCCCGCACCTGAAATGTCTGACTTTAGAACTTCTATGAACATAATTTAAATCAATGCCGTCTAGAATTTTCTGTGATTATGGAATTGCTCTATATTTATGCTGTTGCATATGATATCTGCTAGACACATGTGGTTATTAGCACTTGAAATATGACCAGTGTGACTGAGGAACAATTCATTTCATTTCATTTTATTTGATTTTAATTAGTTTAAACTTAAATAGTGATAATTTAAATAGCTTAAGTTTAAACTTAAACTTAAATAGCCTTGGCTAGTCGCCACCACATTGAACAATGTGTATTCAAATAAATGAAATGTACACCTCCATGATTCCTTCTGAATTCTTATAGATTAAGAAAAAATATATACATATTAGTGATAGTTTTATTCCTCCAACATTTTAGGTGCTTTTTGAAAGTTTACATCTGTTAGTTTTGGACATCTATAATTTGTTAACACTTGTAAAAATATCTTGTTATATATATGAATTAGTACACTAAAAAGAAACATATGTTTAAAATTATGCAACTATTTCAAACCATACGAGATGTTTAATAAAAAAACATAAGAAATTTTGCATCATAGTATGCTTATTAAAAGCTACAATTCAGAGAGATACCAAGAATTAATTTGAGAATAGTTGAGCAAAAAAGTGAAATATTCTATGATACATTACTCCTGGAGCATCTGTAAACAAAATGGTTATTGATTTTCTTTCCTAGGTATTTGTATTGGATTGACTGCTGTGAGTATCCTCACATTGGCCGTGTTGGCATGGATGGAACCAATCAGAGTATTGTCATAGAAACCAAGATTTCTAGGCCTATGGCGCTAACGATAGATTATGTCAACCACAGACTTTACTGGGCTGATGAAAATCACATTGAATTTAGCAACATGGATGGATCTCATAGACACAAAGGTTGGTCCAGTAGCACAAATGATTCAGTATTTTACCACTACATGAAATATTAATTTTAAAAATATGTATTCTTATTTTTATGCTTTCTCTCATCAAACACATTTTTTAATTTAAGGTTACATTATTATATTCCTTTGTGACAATATTGGTAAATAAATTTGATATTTTTATTCAGAAATTTTATAATTTATGCATAAAATCATTTTCACATTGTCAATATGTCCTTTAATTGTATTTTTCTAAATAGTTTTTCTAGTAAATGGTAATAGTTTTATAAATTAATATGTACATGTATTTTAACTGAATTGGAATACAAAGCTATTTGCTTGTAAACATCAGGCTATTATTTTAATCTGGTAGGATTTGAGTTTTCTTAAAAGCAGAATAAAGTGTTCTCTACAGACAATGAAAATATTATTTGAAAGTTATAAATTAAGCTATATATAATACTTGATTAAAGTTATTGTTATCTAATCAACAGCAACAACACAAAATAACATGAAAAGTAGCTTTCAAAAATAGTGTAACACTCAACACTCAGAAAATAATGTTAATATGAATGAATATAAAATTTTATGGGTACTTTGTTTTTCTATGTTTTTAATTCTTAGTAGATTAAAGAAAACTCTAAGTATAAAACAAATGAGTGAAATAATTAGATATAGAGAAAGGTAACCCTAAAATTATACATGGGGAGAAGGTTTGTTAAAGAAAAAAAACTGAGAATGAGGGAAATAAGAAAAGTGACAGAAAAGGACATAATAAAGAAAAAGTGAGGTATAAATAAACCTGATGTGGATAGAGCAGAAACCACAAATGATTCAACTGAATCGTCAAACATTTTAGATGCAAGTAATTTTTTTTAAATTAGATTTTTCCTTGAATGAAGGAGGGAGATGAATTTTTATTGATCTTTAGTAACCTAATGTCACTTTTGTTATCAGGTGACTTTATTTACAAACATCTCTTAAAATACAGCTTTCAAGTAGAGGTCTCAAATAAAGCCCTATATGTTAGTATGGTTTAACTTGACAGATTGCTTTCTTCTCTGACACTAAGTTTAGGACAAAAAACGCCTGGGGGAGGAGGGAAGGAGTAATAGTAAGGGAGAGAAGATTATTGTTAATCATTAGGTGAGACCCTGAAAACTCATGCCAGCATAGAGTTTTTAGAAGGATGAAGCCAATTAGTTTAAAATGAAAATAAGTAAATAAAACAGAGGTAAATAGCACTGAAGTCTCACCATTTGGTAATTTTACCTATTTCCTTCTCAGTTAACATTTAAACAGAGACATTCTTCTAACTAGAAATGCTGACAGGAAGTTTTTAGAGGTGCTATCTTAAGGGTAAGAATATGGAAGTACAAGAAATGTAGTTAGGTGAGTCATTTACTTAGGTGTTGAAATTCCAGTGATGGAGATAAAAAACTCATCAGGATGCAATTTAAGTGAAGAATTACAGATCATTTGAAGGTATTAATTACAACAAAATTAATGTTGGCAAACCAAAATCACACTTAGCATTTAGAAGCCATATCCCCTCCCAAAGAATCAACAATGAGATATCCTTCCTCATTCTTGCATGATATAATTGAAAGTTTTATTGTGGCAATTTGTATTTTCCCTATGTAACCATGAACCTGTCCACTTTTAGCATCCATATCAAATGATAGGTAGTTGTTAAGGTATTAGTTTGGGATAAAATGTCACCGTCCAGTAAAATTTAATGCAGATTTAAGTTAGGTAGGTTAATATTTAAAAACATATTATAGCATCAAATATTTGTCTATTTATCATTTGAGTCTTTGGTGTTTGAATAACAAAAATTATTTTTAAAGTGCTAGGTCTATTGGAAACTATTGACTCCATCTTCTACTTATTATTTAAAAATTATGTCACATATATGGTGATTAATACTTTGAAAAACTTAATACAAAATTAAATGCATATAAACAAAGTATCTTTCAGTCATGGTACCGGTGATGATTTGGGGTAGGGGGACATATATAGCAGGGAAAAATGGTACTGAATTTATTAAATAGTAAAATATTTAGCTGAAAGATAGTTTAGTATAATGTTATTAAAATTTTTAAATTTGGTTTTGAAAATACCTTGAGGCTCAAGAGGGAAGAAAAGGAAAGTTAGAGAGTTTCAACCTTCAGAAATATTTTCTCCTGAAGGCTTTCTCAGAAATACTAATGAAAAATTCATTAACTGCCTTATCAGGCATCTGCCAATACCCGAATGCAGGCCAATAATTACCTGGTAGTTACTAATGAGGTACTAATTGTAGCCAGCCTGAATTATGCCAATTCCACAGCCAATGAAAGAAAGGGCTATTAATTTACCACGTTTGTAAGGAGGAATTGGATTATTCTACTCCTTGCCTTTGCCCCATAAGACATAGCAAATGCTGCTGTTTTCTAGTTGCATATTTGCAGGTGGAAAACAAGACTTTTTATATCAATAATTTTGTATTAGCTCAATCACTAACCTCTTTGTTTTCTTAACCAGACCAATGTTATTCTCATGTGTTTCATTCATGAAAACTGGAGGCTGAGCTCATCTGAAACATGAGCTTCTGGGACATACCAGTCATGGCAAAGTAATTTGAGAATATGAAAAGTGTATGAGAAATTTTGGAATAATGGCTCTTTCACATGAACCAAATTTTAATAATGGAGAGAAGTTAGCCCTTGAATAGGACTTTCTGATCTAGAAAGGTTTTTTCACCCCAAAACATTCTGATGTAAACCACAGAATAATTCCACCAATGAAGCATTATTTTATATTTGCCTTGCACAAGAACCTCTGAAGTGTCTATATTCTATGACTTAAACAAAAGTTCAGATTATATCCAAGGCATTTATGCCTTGAAGTTTGCTCGAGAAATTCCATCCTTATTTCTCTGCTACCTCCTCTTCCCCAATTCACCCTCTTACCAAATCCAAACATCACATTGAAAAATTAAACCAAAAAATCAAAATACATTAGTCAATTTACTAGTTTAGGAACATTTAAATACAATCTTAATCACATAAACCTTGTTCTAATCTCTCTTTATATATAGATCATTCTACTGGTTTTCACTAAAATAAAATAATATGACACAATGTAATAATAATATAATACAATAAAATATATACTGCTGGATGCCTAAGTCAGATAGTTTATTTTAAATTACATCATTGGTTCATTTTTTTTTTTATTTCTCTGATTTCTTCCCTTTAGCTCTGCCCATTCATTCATTCATTCATTCAACATTTACAGACCCTTCTTTCTGTGTCATGCATTATGCTAGGCCCTGGTGTAATAAAGATGAATAATTCCCTGTCTTCAAAGCACAGTCCAATGGGAAAAACTGATATGCAGGTAAACACATAAATTAGATTGGGGTTAGAGGCATATGGAAATGCTGCAAAAGTGTGGGCAGGAAAAGCCTTTGCTGAGGTGAGGAGATCTTTGAGCAGTCTGAAAGATGGAGCAAAACCTCTCCATATAAGGAAAACATAGGGAGGATTCTTCACACAGAGGGAACAGCATGTGCCAAAATGTAATAGAATCTTGAAACAGCATGGGGTTTACACAATTTGGCTTTGACTGGAAGTCATATAAGAGGGAGATAATGGCACAAGATGAACAAGGGCAAATTGGGGCCAGATTGTAACAAGGCTTGTATGCTAAGTAATTTGGAATTTATCCTCTAGGTTATAGGAAGCCATTGATGGCGTTTAGTTGATAGACTACTATTATTAAATTTGACAACATCATGGAAAACGAAAGACCCTAGAAGGGCAACCAATTTAGAAGCTGCTAAAATATTTTAAGAGAAAATGCATGAGGTGATTATAGCTACGAGAATGGGGATACAATGTGAGATTCAATGGTTACTTAGCAGACAAAACAGGAGAGATCTGTAAAAACTTAAAATACCAGAAATATTGGTAGTTGAGTTATAACTATCAAGTGAATGATTTATATTATTATCCAGTTAGCTAGGGGAAAATAACTTCCACTTTGATGATGTATTTGTTACATATCCATTTGCACATTTTTTTAAGAATTGAAAGTACTAAACTAGGCTAGACATTCAATAAAAATTTCTAAATTACAAAGCTCCATTTTGATAACAGATGCATTGATTTTAACATGTTCAGGAAAAGAGGATGTGGTTAAGCATCCTCTATTGAGTTTTTCCCTAAAAAGTATTTAAAACACCTGACACTTTAACTAGACTAAAGATTGCAAATGAGTAACACTCTTTTCATCTACTTCTCTTTAAACATGTAAATAGGTCCAAAGAGAGACTTGGCAATTGGAGGATGGTCTCCAGATAGAAATGTTCAGTCTTTAAATATATTGTTATACAAAAACAGGATGATTCCAAATATGTGAATAGTAATATTCTTCTTGGAGGTCCGTATATTTGGGACTAATCCCTACCATCCTGAAACCACAACCATTTTCAGAGAATTTGGGGCTTTGATTTTGGATAAGAAGTAATAAACCATTGCTGGAGTACAGATCTTTAAATGAAAGGATCACCTTGAGCTGGAGAAAGTAAACCTTTAGGATCTCAAAAGAAGCCTGGGGAACCTAAGGATCACGGATGGGTTGGAGTGGGATCCACTGCTAACTTGCTTATTCACCCAGAACAGTATGGTTAATTTCCCTGGCCCTCAGTTGCCTCATCTGTAGAAAGAGGACGCTGGAAAAAATGACATGAAAGGGAATTTTAGAACTAAAATTTTAAGCCTCCAGTTAAGTAGATAAAACAACATTGTTGCAATCTTTGCCATATCCCTAGGTTTTAATCTCAGTCTTCTTCAATTTAAACATGAGAGAGGTTCGAAATCTATAATAATGAAACGTTTCCTCATTTAGCCTTGATGAAACAAACTGTTAAATTGCAGATGCAATCCCCAGTTTTCCCTGAGTATTATCGTAAAAGTTACTGCCATCTTTTAAAGTTGGACATTTGTGAACTGATCAAATAAATCA